GAACACCACCTGCCCACCCAGGGCTGTCTCGTCCCAGATGAGCACGGTTAGCTACGTATTGTGCAAAATAAGTTGAACATACAAACACAGAGCCCAACATCTTTAGGGACCCACTAATTCTCCGAACGTGTTACTGTGCCTCAGTGTCCACCTCTCAGTGTCTGTGTCTCTATCTCCACGTCTCTGTCTGTGTCCATCTCTCGATGTCTCCGTGTCTGATTCTGTCTTTGTCGGTCTCTCTCTCCGTCTAGCTCTCGGTGTCTCTGCTGCATCCCCTCTGTGTCTGTCAAATTCTGTCCATAAGAAACCTTTGTCTTTGTCTCTCTGCTGGTCATCTGTCTGCATGTTTTTGTCTGCTTCTCTGCACATCTGACATGACTTTGTCTCCGATGCTGGTCTCTCTCTCTCTCTCTGCGTCCGTGTCGTGTCTCCCTCTTTCTGCGCATCTGTCTCTGTGTCATCTCTCACTGCATCGCCTTTCTGTCCGAGTGTCTCTGTCTCGAGGATCTCTCCTCATCCCGCATTAGTACACACAGCTCTGCTGACACTCATTAAGAATGTATTCATTGCTCAAACACTGCAAGCAGGGACATTGTGATTCATGGGAATATCAGGGTAATAAAAGACTAAATGTGCAGTATTAATAACATTGTTATAATTACATCATCATCTGAACTGCCATGGAATGGCCATGTTACTAATCTGGTTAAGGATGCATCAAATACGCTGGGTTTTCTGTTCTGTGCCAAAGCTTTTGTCTTTAACTGCAAACAATTATTACTGCCACACACAGCACAAAGTCGCCTAACAGAGGTAACCCTGCTGCCATCACATCCAGGGTGCAGCACTCGGCTCCAACCTCGCTTCACCGGATGGAATTCTACGTAAAGCAGTCACAGGCCGATTTGGTGATCCAGCACTCACCGATTCAGTCCAGTGACTCGCTCGCCGGCAGCCAGCCACCTCCTACCACTCTTCTATTGCTGCTACCGTGGTCACTGCTCCCGTGAAATTCACTCTTGTGGTTCCTTCGCTCGTGCGGAGGAGGACTCTCTCTGGAGCAGACTGCCAGTTTCGATTCGTCCTCAATGCAAGGTCCACACACGTGCAGTTGTTTTTCCTGCGTTGAAGCGAAAGCATATATGACCAGGATTCATGTTTAGAGCCGTAGCCTGGCCTTTGGTACCGCGACCACAGTCCAACACGGGCACAATGCGCCCACCTTCTCAGCGGCCGTGGGCCGGTTACCATGACGGCGGTTACCCCTTGCCGTCTGTGCCACGATTATCGCAATCAACACATTTTTCCCATCGCGTCATTATGGTAACGCCGCTGTCCTCTTGTTGATGCTATGTTAACCTTTTGATGTTGCCGATGCTATGTTAAGACTATTATGTTTTTGTTACTATGTTAACCTTGTGATGTTGTTGAAGCTATTTTAACCTTGTGTTTTATTGCTATGTTCACTGTTATTTTGATTCCATGTTAAGGCTGTTCTGTTGATGTTGCTATCTTAACCTTGTGGCGATGCTGTCGATGCTACGTTCAGGCCGTGATGTTGACGCGATGTGAAGGCAGCTTTGTTGACGCTATGGTACGAAGTGCTAGAGTGCTGATGCGCGGTTTGGAACAGCTGTTGACCAGGATAACGCCAATCGCTTCTATAATCAGCGCCAGCTGTAGCACAGCATTCACGCATTCAAATTATTGCCACTAAGCGTTTCGGATCAAAGCAAACCCAACTGGTTCATGCCGCCTCCTTCCCAATGAGGAAGGGCCACTGCCCGAAACGTCGCCCATTGCTAGATATGCATTTTACAGCCACCACAGTGCTATTTACGAATGTGTAGAGTTCGTGATAATGGTGTGTTCACGATGGTGCTGTTGTTGGAGAGTTAAGGGTTATATGTTCACGATCCAATGTTAACGTTGCCCATATTAATGCTATTATAATTACGTTTTTTCATGTCGTGCTAACATTGTTGTTAACGTGGTAATGTTAATGTCGTGCTAACGTTATGTCAAAGTTAACGCGCTTTTGTTAATGACGCCATCATGTTCACATTGTTAATGTCAGGCTAATTGTACCGTGGTAATGTCCTAATGTCATTGTATGATTATGTCAATATTGCTAAAGCAATTACATTAATTTGATTGTTTATGTTAACGTGGGAGCAATGTGTGGATCGTTAACCCAACCATGTTTCTGGCATGTTAACGTTTGATCAATGTTAACAATGACAATGCACTTACCTTAATGGCGTGTTAATGTTATGTTAACGTAATGGCCATGTTCCTTTGCTGTTGTGTGCGAGGTGTCTGGCAATGGATCTTATTCACAGCACATGAACCGAGAAATAAAGAACAGCCATTGCCTGAAACGTCACCGATTACATCGTTTCCTTTGAAGGCCACACACGCACACACGGCGGCGGTGTTGTTGTTGTTGTTGATACGGAACGTGTTGAGATTTTGTCGTGCATCACTCCCAATGCAGCAGAAGCAGCAGCATCACCAGATACTCAGATCAGACGTGAGGGTGGGGGGTGCCCAGGCCTACACAGTGCGTGGCCGCCACGTTCCCCCTCGGCCTCCAGGCCAGCTCCCTACCTGGTCCCAACCCCTGGAGGTTGCTGCTGCTGCTGCTGCCGTGAGGGTATCGGCTTCCCTCCCCCTGGGCCTCCTCCAAGCCGGGCACGAGCAGCGATTCGGAGCTGCTAACCCACGTGGCGCCCGCGCCAGCGGAGTCTCAGGCCAGTCTCCCACGACGCAGTCGATGTCTCGAAACAAAATCTCTCCGGCTACGCCTCGGCATGCCGCTCAGGGACTTTTCAACGAAAGGCATTCACAGTCGGGCCCTCGGTGCCTTCTCGATCGTCCACGTCTCCACTCCGCGCAGCAGGACGACGGGCAACACCACAGGGCCACAATCACCCGCGCCCTCAGGTGCCGCGGGCCCCGGCGCCTTCCAAAGTCCAGGCCAGAGGCGAGTGAAATGCCACACGCCCCAACCACCCACATGTCCACCCTTCAGTGTCCCCACTGCTGCTTGAACCTCGTCCAGCCTTGAGGGGGGAACGGGTCTCGTAGTTCGGGGGATCGGTGGCCGCGGCCTCACCCACGGTCTCACCCGCGCGTTGTCCATTTCAGCTTTGGGGTTTTAGCGGTGGGGGGTGGTGGGTTAAGAGGTTTGCCACGCGACTAAGAAAAGTCCCGCAGTGTCCCCAGACGTCACTGTGGAAGAGTAGACCAAGGTCCCTCTGGTGCGCACTCTTTGAATCGGGCCCCTTCGGCCAGCAGTGGCGTGAGAGCGAGCAACCTGCAGGGGGTGCGCGCCTGCACCGTCGCCTCCACACACGCTGGCGACTTCAACCACCCTGTCACTCTGGCGGCCCGTGCCCTTAGCGCGCTGCTCGCCTGTCAACCAAGATCCCCGACTTTGTCCGAACCGGAACCCGAGAACGGTTACCAGTTGTTCACAGGTTACCCGGTTCAACAACCCTGACCGCTCCCCCCCCCCAAAGACAAAGATCCCCCGTATAGCCTGTCACAGACTGTGGGGGCAAGTGCTGTCAGCGAGCAGCACCTATGAAGGCCGGCACAGCACACGAGGGGGTGGGTGGCCAGCAACCACGGCCGGCGATGTTGACGCACCGCAGCAGGCCGAGTCGACCTAGGGGAGGCCCAGGACCGGTTCGGATGATAATCGTCAGCGCGTGTTGGCCATGAGCGGGACTCGAACTCGTGCCCGCCGGGGTTCGTAGCGCAGCGCGGCGACCGCTACACCACCACCACTCAACAACCACCACCACAACCCCCCCCAACCACCCCCCCCCCAAACCATCACCACCCCCCCAACCACCCCCCCCCAAACCACCACCACCGCACAACCCCCCAACCACCAGCCCCAACCACCACCCCCCCCAACCACCCCCCCCCAAACCACCACCACCCCCCCCAACCACCCCAACCACCCCCCCAACCACCACCACCACCCCCCCCAACCACCACCCCCCCCCCAACCACCCCCCCAACCACCACCACCCCCCCCCCCAACCACCAGCCCCAACCACCCCCCCCAACCACCACCACCACCCCCCCCCACCACCACCACCACCCCCCCCCAACCACCACCCCCCCCCCAACCACCCCCCCAACCACCACCACCACCCCCCCAACCACCACCACCACCCCCCCCAACCACCACCACCCCCCCAACCACCCCCCCAACCACCACCACCCCCCCCCCAACCACCAGCCCCAACCACCCCCCCCAACCACCACCACCACCCCCCCCAACCACCACCACCACCACCCCCCCCCACCACCACCACCACCCCCCCCCAACCACCCCCCCAACCACCACCACCACCCCCCCCAACCACCACCACCACCCCCCCCCCCAACCACCACCCCCCCCCCACCACCCCCCCAACCACCACCACCACCAACCCCCCAACCACCCCCACCCACCCCCCCCACCACCCCCACCCCCCCCAACCACCCCCCCCCAACCACCACCACCAACCCCCAACCATCACCACCGCCCCCCCCAACACCACCACCACCACCCACCCCCCAACCACCCACCACCACCCCCCCCCAACACCACCACCACCACCCCCCCAACCACCCCCCCCAACCACCACCACCAACCCAACCCCCCCAACCACCCCCCACCACCCCACCCCCCCAACCACCCCCCCCAACCACCACCACCAACCCCCCAACCACCACCACCGCCCCCCCCCCCAACACCACCACCACCACCACCCCCCCAACCACCCACCACCACCCCCCCAACCACCACCACCCCCCCAACCACCACTCCCCCCCAACACCACCGCCCCCCCCCAACCACCACCACCGCCCCCCCCCCAAAACCACCACCACCGCCCCCCCCAACCACCACCACCACACACACAGACGAGGTTGGTGGTGGTGGTGTTGGGGCGACACGGCCATTGTGCAGCCCCCGCGATACGCGCGGGCGCGCTCACCCGTGGGGTGTTGGGAGTCGTCAGCCACGAGCCGCAACCGGCAGCGACGGCGTCGGGGAAGGAGACGGCGAGGAGGTTCCGCGCGGCGACGGCGCGTGGAGGGCGACGGGGGCGGCGACGAAGGAGACGCAGCGGCGCGGATCGAGGACGAGGAGAGAGCCCAGCAGCGAGTGGTCTGCCACGAAATCTCGCGAGAGTTCCAGAAGCTCCGATCGCCGCCGCGAGCGGGGCCGCGAGATTAATCACGCGGCTCGCGTGACGTCACGCGGCGCCGAGCGCGATCGTCGCCCCAGGTTACAGCAGGTTGACGTCATCACGCTGGCTGGCTTCGTGCGGGTAAATGACGACACCGTGGGGAGTGACGTCATCGCCCTCCTGCGAGTTTCGCGCGGGTGACGTCATCCGAGTGCTTTTGCTTGGCGCGGACAACGTCACGCTGGAGGAGTGACTTCGCATAACGGAAACGGGAGACGTGACAAGGGCTACGTCTGTGACGTCACGTGCGCGCGACCACCTCCCTGCCCGCCCATTTGTGAATTAATTTCCGTCGCTCCACTCCTGTAATCCGCGACGCTCCACTCCTGTAATCCGCGACGCTCCATTCCTCACACTATCCCCAATTTCCAATCCACAAATCGTCTCTTTAGATCCAGAAAATGTGACAAGAATCGCTTTAACGATAACAAAATGTATTCAAATATCACAGCTTGAGATATTTTGAAGACCTGCGTGT